TCTTGCATATTAAAATCTCTGCTCTTCTTACTTCTGTTTTGAGTTTGGACATCATTTTTCAGTATTGCTTTTCATTGAATACAACGAAAATGCGGCAGGGAAGTTGTAATCTTGTGTGGACTTTGTAACTGCACCAAACCGGAAGTCCTTCTTCAGTCCGTATCTGCACTCTGGATTAACCTGCAAAGCCCCGAGGTGGATCCTCGGGATAGACACTCCGATGCTTAAGTCAGCAATAATCGGGATTACCTTTGGAACGGAGAAACAAGAAACTTAGGGTTGGTTTCAATTACCTTTTTGCGTGGCCCTAAAGGGGTATTTATATGTTTCGATGCAGAATCCACGCGGCATGCCAATTAAGATGCCAAGCAAAATATCCGGGATTTGATATGTATCTCCAAGCAGTTATTTCGGGACCAGGAGATTGAGATACATCTAGATAGAAGGATGTCAATCATAACTACCGTGTGGCTGTTCTAGCGGGAAGCTCTGGGCTTTTCCTTACACTATTCCCCCCCTCGGAGTCATTCACTTGTGAATGATGTTGGTGGAAGTGGAAGGGGTAGTGCATAAGGGTGGAAGAAAACACAAGATAGATAAGTGTAGAGAGATAAAAACGAAAATCAGTACCACAAAAGTATGTATAGCCGTAAGGGATAAAATGTGTAACCGGAGTAAAAATAATGACCAGAATCAAAGTGGCCGTAGCCGGAGTAAAATGTGTGACACGGGGTTACTGTGGCCGTAGCCGAAGAAAAACGTGTGACACTAGGTCACTGTGGCCGTAGCCGAAGCAAAATAAGTGACACTGGGTCACTGTGGCCGGAGCCGAAGTAAAATGAGTGACACTGAGTCACTGTGGCCGGAGCCGAAGTAAAATGAGTGACACTGGGTCACTGTAGCCGAAGCCGAAGTAAAACATGTGACATGGAGTCACTGGGCCCGTAGCCGAAGTAAAATGAGTGACACTAGGTTACTGTGGCCGTAGCCGAAGCAAAATGAGTGACACTGGGTCACTGTGGCCGGAGCCGAAGTAAAATGAGTGACACTGGGTCACTGTGGCCGGAGCCGAAGTAAAATGAGTGACACTGGGTCACTGTAGCCGGAGCCGAAGTAAAACATGTGACACGGAGTCACTGGGGCCGTAGCCGAAGTAAAATGAGTGACACTGGGTCACTGTGGCCGAAGTCGAAGTAAAATGAGTGACACTGGGTCACTGTGGCCGGAGCCGAAGTAAAATGAGTGACACTGGGTCACTGTGGCCGGAGCCGAAGTAAAATGA